AATACGCTAATTGTAATAGTGACATCCCTTTGCTCAATTTATTAGTAGTAGTGGTTGACTAAATAACCACACACAAAAAAAAAATAAAGAAAAAAAGAGAGGTGTTACTGCTCATATAATTTAATCTGCAACCTGATGTGATTTCATCTTTACAAAAACATGTTGAGAATAAATAAAGTTATTCTACAACAAGAGTTTTCCCTGTAGGGACAAATATTTGGTCGGTCCCGGTGCGTTTGTTAAAGCTGTTTGGAGATGGCCACCTTCTGGTGCGTCTGGAAACACTCGGCAAGTGATACCACTTGAAAAACGCAGCAGCTTTACTGCCTCTCAAATCCATTGTTTTCCTCTTTCCCTGAAGGCATGGGGAGAAGAGGGAGAAGTGAGGTCAGTTCGAGGCATGAAGGGAGAGGGAGTGTGATTTTTTTGAGGAGCCATAATCTAGATAAATCAGAGAGATGGGTTCTAGGAACAAGCGCTGTTAGAGTGGAGAGGTGGAGGTGAAAATGAATCATTTCCTCCTAGAGACAATCCTGGGCTGTTTCCATCTTTAATTTCTGTGAGGTTGTTTGGTTTGTGTTTTTTTTTTTAATTACTGGAGTCAAATGCCTGTGTGTCAAAGCTAAGGGATTTTTAATTTATTCGTCACTAGTTGTTTGTGCCTTTGTTTTTCATTTGTGTTTCAAATGATTAATGCAATGATGGATAATAGTACTTTGCCATATGGTAACTTCATTACTTGATATTTTATTCACCTACTTTCTTTTTCTTCTTCTGTCTTCCACTTTATATAGCTTAGCAAAAATACCACATAAAGCTTATCTGAGAAGTAGCCAGGACGGAGATGTTTTAATTCTTTTCGTGAAGGGCAAAGATGTTCTTTGGATTCTTTAAAATAACAGATTGGAAAAGTTTCTACAGTTGACCATATAGGGAAATATGTGCCTTGCATTTGAAAATTACAGATCTACCTCAAAAAGTCTTTATGGAATTTTGCTTCTTATCATCTTTTTCACTATAAATTTGATTCTGCTTCCAAACACTTTATGCAGTAATTTATTTATAACAGGGTTATTTTGTGCATGCTTTTCTAAAAGTCCATGCTGCCTCTGACTCTGCAGGGATGCCTTTATCATACCAGACTCATGAGGAATTATTGCTGCTGTAATCAAGAATTTACTGGGTTTCCATTAGTTTCCTTGGTGATGGCTAGTGTTTCCTCCCCCCCCCTTTTTTTTTTTTTTTTTTGCTGTGAAAAGAGAATCTTTCTTCAAGCTGAACTAAAAGCAAAGTCTAGTGGCGTAGGTACGCTTGAGTAACAGCCTTTGTTTTCCAAGGGCAGTAACAGCAGTAAAGTTTGAAGTTCTTGTCCTCTTACCCCGAGAAATCTGAGCAATGTAGAGGAAAGGGCAGGACGCCAGCGGGGAGACTGCGGAGAGGGAGAAGAGCTCGTGCGTTCGTGGCGGCTGCTGCGTGACTAACGGCACCAGAGCTGATAGCGATCGGTGCAGATGAGATCATCTGGCTGAGCTCCTAATGTAGGAGGCCACCTACCTGTTTTAAATGTATATCACTTGTTTCGTTTAGGGATACATCCGGGCAAGGGAGATTCTGCACCATATTTCGGTCTTACTCGAGAGGGGCTCAGGTAAGCAAAGCGCAGCTTTCTCAGCGAAGAGCGATGGCTGTTGGATGGATGAAAGCAGAGGGAGCAAACCATCGTGTGGCTTCTAGAGCTCACGTGTGGATCACATGTGGATTCAGGAACAGTCTGGAGAGAACGTGAAATAACAAGGGGCGAACAGTCTGGAGAGAACGTGAAATAACAAGAGGCAGGATTTTCTTTTGGGGAGGGGAAATCCATGAGACTGAAGTTGAATTGGGGTAAAATACAGTGACGTGCATTCTTATGCCTTCCTGTTGGTTACCTCAGGCACTTCAGTGTGTTACCTGACTTAGATCCCAGGAAAGCTATGCTAAAACTACTTTTTAAAACTGTGTGCACCTGAGAGAAACTGATAACATAAAACTGTCAAGAGTAATGTGAAATAGTCTAAAATGTGGTGAAATGCAATGCCTTGTAAGGAAATGACCTTAAAAAAAAAAAGGCACACTAAGAGTCAGTTCCATCCACTACGTTCCAGAAGTGCACAGAGCATTGCCTCTTCAAGCTACCCAAAATATTTATTTGCTCTGACTTGTGATGTGTGTGTGATCAACCAAACTTCTCCACTATAACAAGAAATATTTACCAATACGTTAGATCTGAAACTCAGTCAGGGTTTCTGCCCTTAGCTGAGCTGTAATCTACACGGAGAGGTGGGGCTTGGTTTCACAAGGTGCTGAGGTTCTGCTCCACTGAGGAGTTGCTCGACATCTTACAAGATTATTTCAGAATTGGAGAATTTACTGAGAGCATTCTTTGTGTTATGCTTCTGTTAAATGTGGAATATCTTATTTATTTTTAACACAGGGAGTGATACTGGTGTATGATATTACAAATCGTTGGTCGTTTGATGGAATCGATCGATGGATAAAAGAAATAGATGAGGTAAGGTACAATCCCAGAGTGTCACTAGTCTGTAACAGATGACTAAGACCAACTGCTTATGATATTTTCTACTGTTTTTCCTGGCATTTGCAGGCAGTGCTTACTACAGAGATATCCGAGATGCCAAGTTTACCATTTTCTTTCTATGTTTATAATTCTAGAAAGTTGGAAACGTATCAGCTGCAGTCTCTGATTTCTGTAAAGGTGTTGATGGAAAGCATATGGAGGGCAAGGATTTCATATTGTAGTCCCACTCTTGCTATAGATTTTCCCACATCATCTGCGCGAGCCTGTCTTCTCTGAGGAAGGGATGGGTTTAGATCGGAGAATCACAGAATAATTTAAGCTGGAAGGGACCTCTAGAGATCATCTGGTCCAAACTGCCACTTAATCTTTAAATCTTGAAAAAGCTTTTGTTTGTTTTAATTGATAGAAAGGAAAATGGAAGCCAAACTATTCATTTTTTATTGCTTCTCTTTGCTCAGCACGCTCCTGGTGTACCAAAAATCCTGGTGGGAAATCGCCTTCACTTGGCCTTCAAGCGCCAGGTGTCCACTGAACAAGCACAAGCCTATGCTGAGAGGCTGGGCATGACTTTTTTTGAAGTCAGCCCACTCTGTAATTTCAATATTACGGAGTCCTTTACTGAGCTGGCAAGAATTGTACTGATGAGACATGGGATGGACAGGCTCTGGAGGCCAAACAAGGGTAAGTGATGTATAGTGACAATGTGTTAGTCCTAGCTAAGGTTTATGGGTCATTCATATGAAATATTTTTTCAGAAACTTTAACCCTGATGCAAAAACATCAAAAAAGAACCAGGAATCCTGTAGGATTTGCTTTCTAAACAGAAAATACGTATCTGCAGGGATAACCTGCTCTTCCTGCTCTTGTAGGGAATAATGTATCTTTCTTAGAACTCACACGCTCATCCATCTAAGCATTAAGACATAAATAGGAAACCGAAGCAGCAGATATTTTTGGATAGTGTACATGTGGGAAAGGGTGTGGGAGGAGAAATGGGAATTCATCCTGGAGTACAGGGCGCTGGGGCTGCTGCTGCCACGTGGCTGACAACAGCACGTGATGATAACACCAATTTTATGTCTGTTTTGAAGTACTGAGCCTGCAGGACCTGTGCTGCCGTGCCATAGTCTCCTGTACCCCTGTGCATCTCGTCGACAAGCTCCCGCTCCCCGTTGCCTTAAGAAGCCACCTCAAATCCTTCTCCATGGCCAATGGCCTTAATGCCAGGATGATGCACGGACGTTCCTACTCCCTCACGTCCAGCAACATCAGTAAAAGGAACAGCTTAAAGAAAGCAAAAATCATCCGGCCACCGCAGAGCCCGCCCAAAAACTGTACAAGGAACAGCTGTAAAATTTCTTAAGCACTTTGTGGGAAAAGGCACCTGGATGGAATCCCCTGGCATGAAGTGTGGAACACAAGGACTCCTTGTTTAATGGCTGAGCACACTCTATGTACGTATCACACTACATAGACAAAAATAAGAAATATAAGTCTTATTTTAGAGCTTGCTCACTACAGTGATGCTGCTTTGGAAGGAATGACGTGTTCAGTGCAACTGGAAGGATGGGACACCTGGCTCTTGGATTTTTCATACTGCATTTTAGTTTCCAATGTGCATGATGCCATTGTTTTTATGAGTCGATGTGTTTTCATATAGGGGATAATTATCATTCTGCTTAATTCCATGAAATCTGGAAAGTGACTTACCGTGTAATTGTATAAAACCCTGTCTTTTTGCAAAGTATTCGAAAAGACAAAAATGAGTCATCGGTTTGCATATTCAGGCAGAGGTTTTTAAATGCAATGTATTGTATACATTGTCCAATTCTACAGAGTGTGACAAATCCTAGTAATACTGCAATTGTGCTTTTGGGGTTTTTGTAAAGCTTCCTTGATAACTTTGAAGCACTAACTTAACTAAGCTAAAAATGTACATATAATTATTATGCACATACACAACAAGGTTCTGTCCCATTAGTGTATGTAATAGATTTGATAAAGTTTTTGGTATGTTATTTAATACTTTGGGGAATTAATTTGTGGTTTAAATACTTATTTTTCTGTAAAAAAAAAGAATATAAAAATATTACATTTTATATCATTCTACAAGGAAGTTCTAGGAGGAAAATGCCAAAGACACTGTGGTAAAAGGAACATGACTTAAAGAGCTGCTTTATAAAGAAAGAACACTATTTAAAAATAAATAAATGTTTCTGGAAAAGAAATCCTATTATGCTTTTTAACCATTGTGGTGATGAGGAGGAAATGTTTTTCTGAATGAGTATACTGTCCCTTTAATGGTTCATTATCACTAACTTTCCATTCTTAAATCCTATTTTTCTTTTTTTTTTTTTTTTTTTTTAACTGGGGGAGGTTGTCTTTAGCTTCCTGTAGAAGAATTTGAAGAACAACATACCTGAACTAGACACCAGGAAATTCAAGTCATCCTAAAAGCATCACATAATGCTTTTGATGCAACGTCTGTCTTCAAGATTGTTAACTGAAACATGGGAGAATAATATACGTCAAGTCTTCCTTCTGCTGGTGAGGGAGTTGTGTGACTTGTTCCCCTGAGCAAGGACAGGCCTTTGAGGTGATGGTGTAGCTTCATCCCAGTTTCTTCTGGGTGTCTTCATTGCTGTGAGATACCATCAAGTTTCGTGTCTGTAATATTCTTTCTGGATGAGCAGAGATGCCCACAGCCTCTGTAGGTGAGGAGGAAGAATTCACGACAGAATTTATCCATTTTTTCAATGCCAAAGTTATGCCGGGATCTGGACCAGCCAATGCATCACTAATTAAAGAAAAGCGCAGTCAAGCACAAGGCTTCTCAGTTAAAGACTAAATGGGAAAACAAAGTTGGGAGGGAGGAATTCCTGTGGGATGGCTCCCCCGTGATGAGCCGGCTCCACCTGCCGGGCTGCCCGTGCGGAGCCAGCGGCAGAGAAAGGCTGTGGGTGTCGGGGGGAAGGTGTCAGACTGCAGCCACGGCACCTCCACCGCTCAACAAAATGTACGTGGCAGCTACAGCTACAAAAGGTTAAACCTGAATCCGAGACATCCGTTTGTGAGCAGTCTGGTTATGTTTGACGAGCAGCTCTGTGCAGGACAAAGAGTTCTCTTCCATCCACACTGCTATTCTGTTTTAAGTTTCTTCCGAAGAGGTGACAAACAAACTGGTTTGTTTCCTCTCTGTGCTCTGCAGTAAGCGTGCCTGCCTGGAGAGAGTGTGAATGTGGGGGTGTGTGTCCTCAAGGTCAGATTCTCTATTCCCCTGCCAGCCAGGATAAAGACCTGGTAAGAAGGAGAGGCTGGAGCAGGGCTCCTTCCCTCTGGGAATGCCTGCGGCCATCTAGCCTAGAGTAAGGGAAGCCTGAGCCTGTACTTGGAAAGAAGATGACTTAACAAGCCCTTCTTTGCTTTTTATTTCATGTGCCAAGTCTCTTCACTGCCTGAGGAGACCAAATCTTGTAAAGATGCAATGTGATTATTTTTATATATATATATATGAGTGCACAAAGAATAACATACCATTGGTCACTGCCGGTAGCTCCGGGACTGCAATGAGCCCCTGTAAACTGAAAAGCTGTAGTAATTTCCAAACAGAAGTCTGCAGTAGAGAAGAGCAGGTCACAGATCAGCAATACACCATGAAGCCATTGCTGTGGAAGGCACAGAATGAGCGCAGGAAAGGAAGCGAGCGCCCGTGAAGGACAGGAAATAGCTGGCGTTTGTGTGAACACACACAGCCCGGCCTTCCAGCTGATCAGAGCCGTGAAGTAATTGTAGCTGGAAGGGGCCTCAGCAGGTCCATCATCTTGCTTAAAGTAAATTCTCTGTTGAGCTCGGATCAGGTTGCTCAGGGCCTTGGGTCTTCAAAACGTCCAAATATTTTTGTTGGTGGTCTCTGGGTTTGTTTTGACTTAGGACTTTTTTTTCAAGTTACAGTATTCCCTATTTCAGCATATTCTAACTCTCTTTCTTTTGTTCTTGCCAGTCTGATGCTTCGCCCAATGTACCCCCCCGGGCCCGGGGCTCTGCTACCGGGGTCGAGCCCGGTGTGAGGGGGGGGATCCCGCCCGGGCAGGGCCGAGGGGGGAACCGACAAGGCCCGTCCTCCTCAGGCGCCGGCGGCCTGTGCCCGCGCCACCCTTGGGCCATTTCCCCCTCGAGCCGGCCCCCTGAGAAAACCCCTCTTCCTCACAGACGCACCGAGCTACCGCCGACCCTCCTCCTCCTCCTGCCGAGCGCCAAACTCCCCCCGGGCCTGCTCCCCTCCCTCACAGCCGGCCGCCGCCGCCGCCGCCATTGCCCGCCCTCCCCAGGGGCGTGGCGCGGCGCCGCTCGATTGCTCCGCGCTCCTCACGCTGGCGGGTGGATGGGCTCTACGCTCGGCGGCGCTGCCTGGCAGGGTCGGAAGCAGCCGCCGGCCTGTCCGCCGCGGTTCGGCCCGGTTCGGCTCAGGTCGGCTCGGCTCGGCTCGGGCGGGCTCCGGCGGCGGGGCTG